TCTCTCTCTCTCTCTCTCTGTCTTTGCATTGGAGAAAGATCCTTGGCCACCCTTCAACTTCTTGAGCTTGTAGACTGGTCTATCTCTGCCATCTTGAGAAAATGGGGGTCTTCTCCCTTGTACATAGTTGCTTCTATGCCTAATGTATTGTTTTTAGATTTCAAAACTGATTTTTTAAAAACAGCAATATTGCTAGGGTCCATCAAGTCTGTTCCAACTCATGTACAAACAGAAGACAACACTGCCCGGTAGTCTTGCACCAACCTGCTGCCGCCACCCCCACTAATCCCATCAGAACCCTGATCCAAAGAAAAGGAACTTCCCAGGGGTGAAATTTTCAACAAACTGAGGCCGCACTGCAGGCACTCACTCATCTATACCAAGAAACGTGCAAGACACCTACCTGACCAACTAACTGAAAGAGATCCATATTTGTGTACATTCCAAAGAGAGGTGACCCAACAGAATGCAGAAATCATCGGCCAATCTCACATGCAAGTAAAATGTTGGTAATATCATTCAAAAACGGCTGCAACCGTACATTAACAGGAAACTGCTAGAGGTTCAAAACCAATTCAGATGAGCACGTGGAATGAGAGATATCATTGCTGATGTCAGATGGATCTTGGCTGAAAGCAGAGAATACCAGAAAGATGTTTACCTGTGCTTTATTGACTATGCAAACACTTTCGACTGTGTGGGTCATGACAAGCTATGGACAACATTGTGGAGAATATTCCAGAAGACTTAATTGTGCTCATTAGGAATCTGTACCTAGACCAAGAGGCAGTTGTTGAAACAGAACAAGGGACTACTGAATGGTTTAAAATTAGGGAAGGTGTGTGCCAGGGTTGTATTCTTTCACCATACTTATTCAATCTATATGCTGAGCACATAATCTCAAATTGGATTACATGAAGAAGAACGTGGCATCAGGATTGGAGGAAGATTTATTAACAATCTGCAACATGCAGATGATATGCCGTTGTTTGCTGAAAGCTAAAAGGACTTAAAATACATAGTGAAGAACATCAAAGACCACAGCCTTTGGTATGGGTTGTCCCTCAACGGAAAGAAAACAAAAATTCTCACTCACATCCATATAAATGGAGAAAAGAATGACGTTGTCAAAGACTTCATTTAGCTTGGATCCACCATCAACACTCATGGAAGCAGCAGTCAAGAAATCAAACTATGTATTAAATTGGGTAAATCTGCTGCATAAGACATCTTTAAAATGTTCACGAGCAAAAATGTTAGTTTGAGGACTAAGGTGTGCCTGACCCAAGTCATGGTATTTTCAGTAACCTCATATGCATGTGAAAGCTGGACAGTGAATAAGGAAGCCCGTAGAAGAATTGATGCATTTGAGTTATAGTGTTGGAGGGGAATATTAAAAGTGCCATGGACTATCAAAAGAACAAACAAATCTGTGTTGGAAGAAGTGCAGCCAGAGTGTTCCTTGGAAGCCAGGATGGCCAGACTTCCTCTCTCCTAGTTTGGACATGTTATCAGAAGGGACCAGTCCCTGGAGAAGGATATCATGCTTGGTAAAGTGGAGGGTTGGAGAAAAAGAGGAAGACCCCCAATGAGATGGATTGGCACAGTGGCAGCTGCAATGGGCTTCACACAACAATTGTGAGGTTGACCCAGGACAGGGCTGTTGTGCAGTGGTCGCTGTGAGTCGGAAATCACACAACAGTATCTAAAAAACACTTACTCTTCAAGTAAAGAATATATATTTTTCTCTATATATATTTCTAAATCTAAACTGCTTATCAGACTAATTATGTTATCTAAGCAATGGTCAAATGATCTTGTCTTCCTCAGGCCATAAACAACAGTTACTGTCAGCTAATTATGCTTTCGTTCTGCAAAATGACCAACTACACCATAAAAGTGACCAAGGGGACCCCGTTCTCCACTTGGATTCAATATCCTAAGCCAGGTGAGGAAAAAACAAATCCTCCTTTTTCTAATATATACATAAACAAAAAGGTCAAAAGAATCAAACTTGGTCTTATTAAGTCATTCCAACTCATAACACTGTGTAGCAAAGTAGAACTGCTCCCCCCCCCATCCCAGGGGCCTTTTCCTTCTCTGGCATCTTTACAGAAGGGGTTATGGTGATGCATCAGTTAAAACTGCTCACTGAGAAGTCGGCGGTTCGAACCCACTCGCATCTCCTTGGGAGAATGAGATTTGCGGCTGCCATGAAGATCTACAGTCTGGGAACCCACGTGGAAGGCTGGACTCTGTCCTCCAGCGTTGCTTCGAGTCTGAATGGGCTCGACAGAACCCATTTTCCTCTGTCTTCTTTTGGAGTCTAGAAGGGGAGCCAGGGGCAGCTGCAGCAAATTTAACCTGCTGGATTCAGGATGCACACTTTCTCCAGTGCAGCTGGGCAGTGGGTCACTCAGCTCCCGGCGATGTCCAGTACCACCTGTACCTTTTGCATATTAGGTAGGCATACCCTTGGAGCTAGACCACACTGTCCGGGAGCCGAGTCCCTGGATTCTTCGTGGACGGGTGTGTTTGTGTATTTCAGCAGCAACACTGAGTGGGCGTGTCTGCATTATACGTCGGACTCAAGGGGCATCCACACCGGATGTCGTTTCGACAACATCTCCACGTTGAAGAATTTACATTACCAATTCCTGGTGAAGGCCACCAGCGCTGAATCCGGTGTCCCGTGCACTGAAAGATACTTTACATTATCGAAAATCGGTGAGCGCGGATTCCCAGGGGGACTGCGGGCGATTTGGGGACCTGCTGTGTGTTGGTCAGGAAGCCCAGTAAGGTAATCGCTAGACTGCTGACCACAAGATTGGCAGCGAGTCCTGGTGGCTCAGCGGAATAAGCATTTGGCTATTAACCAAAAGGAGTCCTGGTGTGGTGCTGTGGACCAACGCATTGGAATTAAAGGTCAGTTTGAACAGAAAGGTCGGCGGTTCAAGCTCACCAGCCGCTCCTTGCAATCCCTCTACGGGGTCGCTGTGAGTCCGAATCGACTCACCGGCACTTAAGAAAAACAACTAACCCAAAAGTCAGGAGTTCAAACCCACCAGCCACTCCATGGGAGAGCTATGTGGTAGGCTGCCCCCCATAATGAAGATTGAAAGCTTTGGAAATCCTATGGGGCACGTCTAGTCTGGTCTTCCTTCAGGGTCATTAGGAGTCAGAACCCACTCGATGGCAATGGGGTTTTCCTGTTGTTTGGGAATATTTAAACAAAAAAACCCTGGTGACCCAGTAGCTAAACACTCCAACTCCACCGAAAGGTCAGCTGACAGAACCCACCAATTGTTTCCGGGGAGGAAGATGAGGTTTCCATAAACAGTTACAGGCTCGGAGACCCTATAGGGGGGGCTCTATCCTGTCCTGCACGGGTCACTAGGAGTCAGGGTGGACTCTGCAGAGTGGGTGATTGTTGTTAGGTGCCGTCAAATCAGTTCCGACTCATTACGACCCTGTATAGAGATTCTCACTGCGGCAGGTGGGCTTGAATCAACAATCTTGTGGTTCAAACTGACTATGCCGTCCAGCGCTCTGTCCTGCAGAAATGGGTGTCCATGCTGAATTCAAGGAGTCCTGCCAAAGCAAAGGTGAAAACACTCAGCATCTAGGTGAAAGTTCGGCAGTTCAAACCCATTAACCCCATCAGGGAAAACAAATAAGGCAGTTGGCTCCCATAAACATTTAGTCTCCAAAAGCTCCGCAGAATTCCAGTCCTACTCAGTTCTGAAAGGCTGCCCTGAGTCGGAATTGACTTGATGGAAACACATCTGCATTGATCTTTCTGTGTGTGTGTGTGTATATGTGTATGTGTGTGTGTGTATATGTGTGTGTGTGTGTGTGTGTGTATATGTGTGTATGTGTATATGTGTGTATGTGTACCTATGTGACTCTATGGAAGCAGCTGGGCAGGACTTTCCTCAGTGGATCTGGGATCAACTTCACAGCACCGGGTTTGTTTGGGGGGTTTGTGTGTTCCTGGGAATCCCTGGTTGACACAAATGATGAAAGTAACAGGCGGCTAATCAGAAGATAGAGGTTCGAGTCCACCCAGAAGTACCTCAGAAGAAACTCCTGGTGATCCAATTCTAAAATGTCATCCACTGAGAACCCTGTGGGGCACAGTTCTACTCTGACACACACAGGGCACCATGAATGGGATCTACTTATGAAACATCATCCACTGAGAACACTGTGAGCACAGTTCTACTCTGACACACACGAGGGCACCATGAGTGGGATCTACTTATGAAACATAATCCACTGAGAACCCTGTGGGCATGGTTCTACTCTGACACACACGGGGCACCATGAGTGGAATCTACTTATGAAACATCATCCACTGAGAACCCCGTGGAGCACAGTTCTACTCTGACACACATGGGGGCACCATGAGTGGGATCTACTTATGAAAAATCATCCACTGAGAACCCTGTGG